GATGCAGAGACCCTGTGCAATACTGAAAAATGACTAACATATGGTGATTCCCTGACAGAATTTTAGTAATATATGATGTTATTAGAAATTATAAAATAAAAATTTTGAAAATTCAATGTCTAAACTATTTTTTTCATCTGTGTCACTGTAGAAAATGTCTAAACATTGTGAAAATCACGAATACAAAGCTAAACAAATATTAAACAATTCAACTTTGTTCAGGTCCCAACACAGTTCATTTTCAGTCCCAAAACGGCATAAATTCAGTTAAATCCCCTTAACCATTTGAACGCTATCATTACTCTCACCAAAATGTTATTTTGAACATTTTTATGCATTTTTTTAAATATTTTCTTTGTTTATATTAAACCAAATGGACACAACTTACTGTAATAGCTACAGGTATTGACCAACATCTTGGAATAAATACGCGACATATGATTACCCAGGCTTATTTTGTGTGACAAATGTTATGTTGAATAGGACAAGATGCTGTATTGTATGTCACCACTTTGACACAAATCATGAAACCAACCATGATGAATTACCTTTGTTTATACTGTAACCGTGCTTCTTTCGCCAATGCTGTCGGCGGATATTGTACAAATAAATCACCAGCTCTGCTTATAAGGTTTTCAAATGGTAAATCTTGCGGTATTTTAGAAAGTAAACTATGTACATATGTCATCTCACACTCGCCACTCAGCACCTCAGTCTCTCTATGTAACACAATCTGAAATTAAGAAATAATTTTACAACGAAAAATGATAACATGTCTACTATTTGGATTGGATCACAAAGTACAACGATGCAAATAAGATGAGCCTGGTTTGATCTTGACTTTGTACAAACTTCAGTCAAGAGTCATTGCTTACAGTGTAATTCAGTATAGGAACATTTTAAATCCCATTTATTAAATGCTGACTAACCTGCCCAAATAAATGATTCAAAAGTACCATATTTGCTCTATTAGCAGCACATGTAAATATGTCAATGTCAATGTCAGCGTCTGCTTTTAATGATTTGACATACAAACACTACATTTTAGTTTATGTGCACTTCTATTGGAGATAATACAGTTTTCAGACAATGGAAGACACATCATCACAGGGAATTACACAAGCAGTAAACCTAGTATGTCGCACAACCAATCCTTTGTGAGGCACTGGAACAAAAATGTATGATTGACAAAAAGATTTCACATCATGTTTCAAAATATAACTTTAATTTGATTTTTAATTTAAAAATGTTCGCCAGTCTCAAGAGATAAAAAAAAACTTTAATTATTAAATTAAAGACTTACTGCAGCTGCTAAGTAAACAGGCATGAGAGGATGACAGGCCAAGAAGAAATCGTACAACCGAACAACACTACGAAAATCGCTCAGTACGTGGCCATACCACGTAATCAACCAGGCTAAGGCAAATACTGTACCAACGGTAGACCTGGAATGTTTAAAATAATGAAAAATAATAAAGTTACTTTCTGATTAATTAATTATTATTAAATAATTATGTTTAATCTACACTGGTGATTAATTCTTGACACTGCCTACTGATAATGAATCAGTCTGACTATATATCAAATTTAAAAACAAAATGTCAGCCATGGTGAAAATAACCTGAAACGTAAAGCACGTAAAAAGGTAATGGTATTCGAGTCCACAAGAAAACCATTCAAGCATTGAAGCTAATTATCATATCACAGATGTATTAATAACTACTTTATCTTGGTCCATGGGCTAGGAGAAAATAATTTGCATTGGTTAGATGCCAAGATGAACTGTGTAAACGTAAAGCACCTTGAGAATTAATACCACATACAAGTCGCATCACATTGTATCATCAATATTACTTTGTGCACAACAAATAAATTATAATTAGGCGGATTATGAAGTACTATGAGGTTATTACGAGGATACCTCAAAGTATGCATGAAGACAGTACCAGATGGAGTATCGACCGACGTGCAGCGGACGTCAATGCGTGACGTACTTTCTGAATGCATATTTTGAGGTATTCTCATATTAACCTTATTATTATACATCTTTTTCTTCTAAGGATACACAATGGAAATGCCAAAAACCAAAATATTTAGAACAGAATCATCAAACTTGTTTGTGTGGAGTCTGGTGAAACTTTGGTGGCAGCCATGTTTGTTTTTATTATTAGAGCACGCTTATGCGCTATCATTCCATATTTGGAATTTGCATTTCCTAATATGATAGGATGAAAATATCCCGTAAAATACCACAAAATTATGGGATGCTGTAACTTAAGGCGTTACAGTGACAGATGTATAATAATAATAATAAAGTTCTATAGTACTTAACTAAGTAGAATACTGTCAAATATCACCAAAATACAGCCACTATTCATTCATTCATTCATTCATTCATTCATTCACATCCAATACTTACCTGTCCATAAATTCTCTGAGTTCAGGGTTAGCCTTTCCAATGATAGGTAGTAAATAGTTTAATATATGTTTTGTACTGTCCATTGTACGGTCCATGAAATCTCTGCCAGATGACACACAGTAATAGTTAAATGACCAATAGTGAAGAACAAGAGATTTCAAATGAACGTAATACAGGCTCAATGTAGAATTTTCACCCTTGTTGCTCATGTATGAAATTGGACAGTGCCCTCAGTGTTCATAATCAGAACAATTTTGAAACTGTTTTACACTGCTAAGATAAGCTTAAAGCAGGATGGTCGTCGCGCAGCGCGTGTTCAAACTTCATGTAAATAAACATATATTTTACACGCATTGTATACGTCGCTATGAGTCCCATATCGAACAGGACGCGGCACGACGACTGCCAGCCTTTAATAATTTTATCATAGATACTATAGAATGATCTACCTACATGCACATGTCAGACAAAAGATGATGTGCATGGATCAGGGATGTATTTGATTTACATTTACACGATTATGATTTATTTTGGCACCATTATTGAAGCAGCAACAGCTGTGATTTTTATAGATATAACTAGATAATGGGATGGGAACTATAGAAATCAGATATAACACATACATTTTCAGTGAGGCGCTATCAAAGCAAGGCTTAGCCCCACAATATCTTGACATTTTGCCCAGGGCCCCCAATAAATTGGCATCTTGTACCACAATATGAGGACCTGAGAAAATAGATTTCAATAGATGGCGCCCTCTAGAGACCTAGATGCAACCCTGCAGCCATCTTTTTCTACTTCCAAGGGATATAATGTACAATGTCAGTATACAGCGTACTGCTTAGTTCTGAGTGTCCACATTTTGGTAATGGCTGCTAAAAATCGAAACTAATGACACAAGAAATGTTTTATTAAAAATAAAAATCAGTTACAGCTATTGTGGCTTTAAAATAAAGGCTCTAAACAAAGAAACATAATTATTATTTTTTGTCCATTTTTATAAATTTACAAAATGACAAAAATTTCACGAAACATCACATAAAATAGCAGAAACTATTTTATCAGAATATATATGTATCTAGCTAAAAGCTGTTTCAGAAACCTTTAAATAGACGTTTAAATATTTGCACTCTATTTATCCATTGAGGGCTGCCTGATGTCAGTCGACCATCTTTAATCACAGGAATTACAGTCAAAGACATGATGTGATATGATTGACAATCAAAATTGTGATGGAGTGTAATCAAAGACATGATCACTATATATTGTCAGTACCATGTTGCTCATATAACATTTAATTAACAGCAGACACATACATGATGGCAATAAAAAATAGCAAGAAAATTATTGTATCTTTGGGTGTGAACGACTGTCAGTTAATGTACATACGTACAAAGTATGTTCTCCTATACTTGCAACAAAGACATTGAATGCTCACCTCAGATGATGGGTTGATAATTTTTCAATCAAAGCAAATGCTAAATCTTGTCCAACTACAAGTAGGAAGGTTACACAGATGTCATGATATCCCTGACAAACAATATAAAATAGAACGGGTCAAAGGTTGTACTTTGTACACTGAAAACTAATTTTCACAAAATTATAATTAAAAGAAAGAAAAACATTTTTGGTTAGTTAATTTTTTTTTCAAAAATTGAGCATTCACAACAATTATTTCTAAAATTCACAAAAATTGTTTTCTAAAATTCATACATGCAAGCTGTGACGTTTTCTGAGCTTTGTATATTTTCATAATCCTCTGATAGCAACTTCAAAAGCAAGCGAGCGACAGAAAAAAATCTCATTGATGAAAGATGTTTGTGGAGTCATGTAATGCAGACATACCTGATAATAATGCAGTTGTTTATTTCTCAACAAAACCCTGACAATGACGTTGATGAGTTGTTCTTGTAGCACTTCTCGCTGATCATTTCGCATCCCTGACAAAAACACAAACAATCTATTTGAAATAAAATGTTTGATTTCCATGTTTTACTAATTTAGATGCATTTTTAGTGAGGTCCAATTCAGTTGGTTCAGGCAATATGTTAAGCGCTAGAGTTTTTAAAAATTACCCACAGCTGAATGCCTAATTGGCCAACAATTGACAAACTTGTCATGTTGAAATTATCATAAATTCCTAATTTAGTCTTCCACTTCATCATATTATTCAGTTTCCATTCACATGGAAACGTACACAATTTCCATCCTGTTTTCATGAGAAAAGTGTGGTTAAGCATCTCTTCAAAATAAAATTTATCTAATGTGGCCAGCCCATAGACCTTAAGGTCTTTTAAGGTCTATGGCCAGCCTTAGCATTAACTTTAATCAAAATAACCTTAATCACACAACATTGCTACTTGTATAATGCTGCTGACTTTTTGTTGGAAATAAACAATCTTTTCAGCATATAGGGCTACGCTTCAAATAATGGAATTACAGAATCTCAATTGTCTGTTTATCTCAGACTCATTATGCCAAGTGAGACCAGGACGACATACCTGGTGGGAATCTCCTTAATGATCGGTTCACATCTAGTACAACTTGGTGGTAATCGCGATGACTGGTTACGTCTGCATCTAATATCAAGAATATTATGGGAGATAAACAGAATTAATATACCGGTAATCTAGTGAATGTATCTCTTGAGTGACACGATACAAAATCTGGTGGAATAAATGTTCAGATTTCATAAAATTCAGTACCGTATTTGCTACATTAGAAGCGTAAGACCCAATATAACATTTGTTGTATACTGAATAAATGAAATACAAGTTGGCTATGGCAATTCTTGGCACAGAGTTCCATGCACGCCACTTAAAACACATTTCCAACAATAGACTGGCAGAATCTCATCTTGTAACTCAGACAAGAATATCTTGTTGTCAGTTGCCAGTACAATGTAACTAACTATTCAGAGGATTGACATTCATGGAGGTCATATCTGATTGTGCGCGAAAACAAATCAGGTTTGTTATTAAAAATATTAACATTTCATATACGACAATGATTATAAACTTTTTACTTTATTCTGAGTTGTTCACCATTCTCAAGAGTGCAGTTGCAGGAAATTTTCAATGTGAAAAAATGGCATCTAATTATGTGTTATCGTATTCATTGATCACATACTAGGTCACCAAAAGTACCACTATACCTGATAAACTTGTTAATCTGATAACAAGGTTCTGAAAACAAAATGGTGGCCAACTATGCATTGACAGGGTCGCAAGTTTGTTTTTGTTTTGAATGCCTGTTGAGTATTCGAGAAATCTATGTTTTCCCATTTGGTGGAAGTTCATTCTGACAATTGAGTAAATTGTCAGGATTTACGAGTATGCATTTCTGCTGCGATCACATCAAAATTACAATGCAATATTTTATCAGTTTTCTTTGATGTGACAAAGTACTGCACATTAAAATCCATTCATCAAATCACCAGTGCCAGACAATTTTACTTGAACAACAAAAAGACTCCAGTTTCAAGGTGTTTTATTTTATCGACTGACACGACAATCTCAACATAGCGACAGAAATTGTACATTGATTTACTGTAACAGCAAAAAATGTAACAACAATGTGGTGGAGCAACTAACATAAGCCAATTTCTTACAAGATACTTCAACGTAATAGCAGTAAGCTTGATATCTTGAAAATTCAAGTGGAAGCTGAATTACCTGGTTTGGGTGGAATTTCAAAAACATTTACGTTTAGTAATTTCGGCCAGGCCTTTCTTCGGAGTTCATCATTCAGTAGTCCACCATGACTGATGGCAAGTTTGCGCAATGTGGCTACATCTACTGGATCCGACAGTAAAGCTTTATGGATGGCAGCTAATTTGATCTTTCTGCCAGAGTCACCATCAACTGCAAAAACAAACATAGTGAAATTATGGATACCTTGCCTATTCTTTACAATTTACAACAAAGATTCTTATCTGGTCTGCCAAGCAAACTTTTGCAGATTTGCTCACCAAAAATTTATTTTCTCTTCAAAATCTTTGATATTTTTTAGATATTTTGCGAATCCACTGTGTATTGCTACACAATTTGGGACCATGGACAAAATAAACATGCAACGTACTCTATGGGAGGAAATACTAAGCTAACATTGTGTACGATATCTTTAAAAAAATAAAAAAGATACAGCATTGATACTGATCCACAAATTGTGAGAAATAAGTACTAAACGACTTAAACACGCCCAAATGTTGATGATCATCTGACTTCCCATTTAATTGTTTGACTTTCATTAGCCCTTATCTGGTTTAGGAAATGTAAAAGTACATGGGGCTGGTAAGATGAGGGTTACTAATGCTCTTGAATAGCATTTCAATATATTTAAATTCACAAAGATTTGCCTCAATCTCAAACTACAGACTAATGAATTGGAATCAGGGGAGCAGGGACTGTATGGGGAATGTATGATTTCTTTTCGGCCCCAGTTGATATTATGGCCCTTGTTCTGAAAGCAACATCCTTGAACAGGGCGATTGTTTCAGCCGTGGTACAAATAATTTTCAAAGTAGTGTTCATATCAAGTAAAAATAAAAAAACAAGCAGCCAGTCGGCTGAGATAGCTCCGCTGTTAGCATTGCATATTTCAACAGAAGATATCATTAGAAAATGAACAATATGTATAGTATGTATAGCAATCAGACTTGCTGTTTTCAACAAGAATTCAAAAAAATATCACTTTTTACCAAAACTGACATAAATATTCATCAAAATTAGATAATTGAAGATATCATCACAAAATGAACAAATCTGAGAAAGGTCCACATGTAGTACCTATACATGTAATATCAAAGCAATTGGACTTTTGGTTTTTAACAAGAAGTCGAAAATATCACTTTTTACCAAAAATTACAAAAATATTCACCAAAATTAGGGAATTTAAGATATCATCACAAAATGAACAAATCTGAGAAAGGTCCACATGTAGTACCTATACATGTAATATCAAAGCAATTGGACTTTTGGTTTTTAACAAGAAGTCGAAAATATCACTTTTTACCAAAAATTACAAAAATATTCACCAAAATTAGGGAATTTAAGATATCATCACAAAATGAACAAATCTGAGAAAGGTCCACATGTAGTACCTATACATGTAATATCAAAGCAATTGGACTTTTGGTTTTTAACAAGAAGTCGAAAATATCACTTTTTACCAAAAATTACAAAAATATTCACCAAAATTAGGGAATTTAAGATATCATCACGAAATGAACAAATCTCAGAAAGGTCCACATGTAGCATCTATATATGCAATATCAAAGCAATTGGACTTGCGGTTTTTAACAAGAAGTCAAAAATATCACTTTTTACCAAAAATTACAAAAATATTCACCAAAATCAGAGAATTGAAGATATCATCATGAAATGAACAAATCTCAGAGAGGTCTACCACACCAAGTATCAAAGCATTCAGGCTTGTAGTTTTCAAGAAGAAGTCTAAAAGGTAAAACATTGACACCAATGACGACGGACAATCACTCATATGGTAAGCTCCGCTCAACAAAGTCGACAGCGGAGCTAAAAATAAAATGTACTGCAACATATTTTGTTTGTATTTTAGGACATTTTTTACGATTTAACTCAATATCTTTGTATTTAGGTTGAATGACAGCTATGTACATGGCATGTACGGCCCACTGACAAAGAAAATACATTTCAGTTTGGGTCAAAGTTCGAAAGATGCATATATGTGGTTATGTTGGAATAAGTTTCCATGGTGAGTTGTGTGAATAAAATAAACTGGTTATTTGTACATTTTTGATTGCATTTGTTGCATGAGTTTCTATGCACAGTGAGTTAGTTTTGTGTCATTTGTGTTGCCTATAATGTGTTGGCAATTCAAATGCAAACTAGACTACAATGAGTCAGGTGATAAATACTACACAGTTACCCCACTGTTGTACCTTTCTCATGTAAATAAATATATATAACAATTAAATTAATTTAAAATAAACAAGTTGAAAATATATTTTTTTAATGCTACTATGTTGAAAAGCCTTAACTGGTGAATGTGACATCTGTGGTTAAGTGATCAGTTCACTGCACTTATTACCATTTCAATTGTCGTGGGTATTTTGACACGTGTCACCCAAGTGAAAAATGTTAATTTACCTCATTTTTTACTTAAAAAAAAGAACAGAATGGCTATTTGCCTCGCAGCTGGGTGAATTATATGTCTCTTTCCAGTCAGCAAATCTGCCAATATAATAGTAACTTTCAGAAGCAAGACAATCAACTAATTGACATGTGGTATACATAAGTTGATGTATGAGCAAACTTTTTGCCATTTTTGTTCGCCATCTCGAACAAAGTCAAAATGATTTTTTGTTTGTTTTCTCTTTTTAAAGGCAAAATTGGGGTTACCCGATAGGGTTCGGGGTAGGTGAGAGGTATGTATGCATTTTTGGCTTGTTCTTGTTAGGATGATAAAATGATAATTATTTACCAGGGGTGGAAATAGGCAAGCTATTTGCACAACGGCAGGCAATAGCGGAAATTGTCATGCTAAATAAATTGACCATATCCCAATCCTAATTGCACCACTGGACAATATGCTGTGAGTATTAAAGTTGTACATTTGTCGTACCATGGAACTACAAACCCGTTTGTAGTTTTATGGTTGTACTCATTACAGCTCCCTGATATCATGTACAAACAAACCATAGAAAGGCATAAACGCGAAACGATCGACCACCGTGTTCAGGTCCGTAACGTCTAGGATTGATTAATTAATTGGGCCCAAAACGGACCAAAGCCATAACGTCTAAAAAGAAGCCGGGCTATAATGACTGGTGCATGACTGCAATAATTTGGAACGCATGTGACTCATTAATTAAATATTCCCAATAATGCTTTAAGGGATGAACCAAGTTCTAAGCACCTACTTTTGCACGGAGAAGCCCCTCTCGTCGCCGGCGATAGATGGTCACTGGGCTTCTTCTTTGTCAAAGTTCTACTTTTTCTGGTTGAATTCATAGACTATCATGTGATACTTCGAACAGGAACAAGTAAATTATTTGGATTGATAACTGTAAGGCTTGAAATAAAAATCCTGGATGTCGGCAGGCTGTGACTCAAAATTGTTATTACTCAAAAACAATAAATTATTATCTGCTCACGCAAAACATATCGTCTTTGATCGTTATTTTTACAGAACCAAACTGACATTACCCGGGAGGCCGCCAGGATTTGGCAGATTACAGCGATGAACACGGGAACGTTTCTTACAAACGCCGATAAAACATCTTTACGTTTTAAAAAGGAGAAGAGGTGTGAAAACGTCAAACACAGTGAAGGCTGACATTTTGACAAGTGCACGCTGGGAAACGTGCCTGCGCCTGTAACTTACGGAGTACGATCTTGATATGAATGTTTGTGAATAATGATTATTAGACCCCCTCCCTTCCCGAATATCACACTAAAACCACCTACAAATACATATAAGTTCATAAGAAGAATCCACTGTTACACAAGTTATACTCGAATCGGATAGACAAATATTGACTAAGCTAAGGGTACTTTCTATCATGCGTGTAAAGCTAGCCTCAGATTCATGCTCATATTCAGCCTTAGATTCAGAACCAGCATTATAATAAATTTATTAACACCTACACATTCCTGGGAGGGATTGGCATTGGTTACAAAAGTTTAAGAAGGAATAAAAGGTTACAACAAATATAAATAGATAAAATAAAACAAACTAAGCTAATACATTACAGAGGAAACAAATATTAAGATTAAATTAACATGATATTATGTAATGTTATGATTCAAAACAAAACAAAACTGAAATACAGTTCACTCCACCAAAATCCTGAAAACAACTTTAATAATAAAGAAAATAGCAAAATAGTCACAGTACCGGGGGAGGGGGGTATTCTCTTGGTAACTCCAAAATTACGTGTGGCAATTAAAACCACTTTGAGTTTGAAAGACTTTGTAGACTGAATTTTATTTTTCTGTCAGTATTAAAATGAGAATGTTGTTTATGTTTGAAATTAATTCCATGCACAAGGACAGGCAGAGAGGCAAAGTACTAGTAATTCATATTTTGCTCTGTCAATTGGGAGAAACTCACTGAATCAGACGCTGAAATCTGAATCTGAAGCTAACTGCACGTCCATCTTCTGTGTGGTGACCTCTGTGTATACATGTACGTATTTGCGGGTCATTGTTGGCTGGTCATTAACCGGGCATTCGCCGACCACAGGGCGACTCGCTGCCTTGCTTTCAGACCCACGCTGTGTTTACCTACCTGTAACCTGCAATCGACGGCGTCTGGTGATTAACCAAATTTTGAAGAGTTCAACCTCGGTGTGGTAGTTGTGCGAATTTCAGTCATACTGCTCAGTGCTGTGTTCGTTACTGTTCACACGATTCTTGGTTTTAATTTTCTGGTTTGACAGCAAAAAAAAAGCGTAACGATGTCTGACGGAGAGACAGAAGTACTACGAAGACGTGGGCGTCAGGGACTTCGTCGCATCATGTCGACAAACGTTGTTGACGAGATGGTCAGAGACGAAGAAAAAGAACGCGCTCTACAGCCAGATAAACCGTAAGTCAGATTCAGATACTTAGCATCTGTGGTGGCGTTGTTTGAGTTTACTGTGTGTATTTGTTGTATATTTGTTTTTTTAACTGACACTTTATCATAAAGCTCCATAGCACTCGTTTTCATAATTTATTTGATGTTTGACCTCATGCAAATTTTAAAACTTGGTTCCACCATAGACCATATGATTACACATGATGTTTAATTTCTACCATAGACGGTAAGACCATCAATTTTTTGAGGGTCTATATGTTTCTACACTACAAAATCACACAATTTTTAAAATTCTAAGTAGTATTTTGTTGGAATACACATTTTATTAAATAAAAAAGACACTTTGCCGACAGTCATATTCACCAAACTATTAGTTCACAAACCTATAGAAATTTTATAACTTAACTGGCTTAGCAACTAATTCCCACCACTAATTACAGTAGATACAGTGTCACATCATATTGGTTGCAAATTGTCTTTATTGTTTATTCATATATTTTTTTGATTTGTTTTATATTTTTAGAATAGGCTTTTTTTTAGATTATAGTTTTAAAATTTCTTTTTGTAAGGTCCTTTTTATGCGTCTAATAAATATTGGTGCATTTTTAACAAGAAATGAAGGGTTCATGTACTTTGTAAATATTCCTTATTAGTTGGCTAAAAGTTTATATTTAATGCAGCTTTCACACCATCACTAATAGTGTTTTAAAAAAAATGGTGGACCAGAACATTGTGTCACTTGTGTCTCTGATATATTTTTGCTACATTTCAAGTTGGTTCCAACATCATTTAAACAGGCCGTTATAGCTATCATTATCGCTTTTTGGTTGCGTGGCTTCAGGATTTGAGTTAGAAATTAAACTAACCGGGGTCAAGACCAAGTTAATTGATTCATACATGTATATGTTTTTCAACAGTGGGTTAAAATATACTTGGGGTCGAGCTCTGTGTTTTGCCACGCATGTAAATACCATACTAAGTCATATTTTAATGATCCAGTATACAGTAAATACAATTTTAGGTGTTTGAGCGAATATAGTACTGTGGAATACTTTATTTTCGCTGGAATTAATTTTTGCTGATTTTTTCATGAGTTTAATGTGAAATATAGGAAAAAAAGTATATTCACTGGATTTTATTTTCACGGAATCATCCCTTCAGCGAAAATAGCGATAGCTTTTTGGGCGTTTTGCTTGGAATTTATTTTCACTGATTTTTTCATGAGTTTAATGTGAAATATAGGAAAAAAAGTATATTCACTGGATGTTATTTTCACGGAATCATCCCTTCAGCGAAAATAGCGAAAATAAATTCCAAGCGAAAATAAAGTATTCTACAGTACTACATAACTACTACATTTTCATTTGTAATGATAAGTTGCTATGCTTGATTTCAGATGCCACAAACACATGGATTCACTGCTCAGTTCTAACAGTGGATGGACAAATTTCAGAGGAGTTATGAACTTGTGTGTCATTCTTTTGGTAAGTAATATTTAATGTTATTTTCCATAATTTTTTTTTTACTGATGAAGGCTACCATTAAAACTTATGATATTGGCAATTGAAATCCAAATGAAATTAAATTGGATTATATCTGCCTATTTTTAAAAATTTCATGATCATTGATGATGATTTAAATCAAATTGGAACAGTCTAGTTGTGGTGAAATATCCAACAAATCGTCAATATTGACCAACATATTATGTGTATTTCTAAGTAGTATATATTCACGATTTAAAGTGGATTTAAATTGAATATATATGATTTAACACTTTACTCAATTTTTGTTGCTGTTCAAGGCTATAATCTGAGATTACAAGATCTTACCAAAAAAATCAGACAACATATACAGCAGCAGACTAGAATAAACATTTACAATCTCATGTGCATTTCTTTGTTGAGGCCTTGCAGTGATTTGTTATGAATCCCAGGAAAGTTTACTTCCTGTACAAATACGTAATAAAATGTTTCCAATAACTCAATAGTACACCTGTTGATATTTTAGCTTTTATTACTGATTTGTAACTCCAAATCAAATGACCTCATGCATATTCATCTTGATGATGCAACAACCACTATGCTACCAGTGATCGGCATCATGCAAACAGTTTACAGTAATGATTGTAATAATTTGACCCAAATAGAGATTTGATTTTTCATACTGTAAGGATAGAATATTGAGAAGAGTATAATGTCTGGTTACTCAACAGTTGAATCATTGTATTTGTTCATGCAACACATGTTAACAAAATTGATGCAAGTTGACAGTTTTCATTCATGATTCATTCGACAGATCTATGGCATGACTGGCCAAAGCTGTTCCATGCAAAGACACTGTTTTTTTAAATTTCTATGGAAACAATACATGAAAAGTCTATGCCCTCTCTCAATTAACTTGCACAAAGAAAGCGTTTGTCCATTGGATTATAATTTTCAAATTTAAATAAAATGTGTGTTATTATCTGTATAATAAATACAGTTTTATGCTTTGCTTCACAAACCCATTAATGCTATCTATTAGGTTAACATATAATCAGTATTACAATTCCGGTCATATGTCACAATGTAGTATTTTATTATTTACAGGGATTGGCAAATATTCGGCTTGTATTGGAAAATCTTCTCAAGTAAGTACATTTCAAAACTCTTCACACACTGACCAGCCAATTTTAAAACAAAAATGTTGTTGTATTACCCGGTAGTACCAGTACGTAATCAAACCTTGACCTATAACCTTGAGTCAATGATTCAACAGGTTGGATACGTTTAATGATAGTCTATCATACTTTCATATCTGAATAATAGCATTTTAAAGTTGTCAGAAAAAGGTGAAGCAAAATTTAGAATTTTTACTTGCATTTTATTAATATCTATTCTTTCTCTGGATGCTAGTAAAAAATAGATGTGAACATATTAAATCAGTGTAACAAACTTAAATTAACTTAGATTTTAAGCCCTGTTTGTAGGGGCATCAATCAGCACCGGCTAACTATTATGTAATAGTTGCACTGCTTACAAATATATATGTGAACATGTTACCACGACTCAATAGGGGCTTAAATATGGCCTCTTGCGACCATCTGCATTAGGTGTTGTTAATGTTTTACTGACCTGAAATGAAGCATTCAACTGCATTTACCGATATGTTTATATTATTTCAACGTGGGTGCTCGTGATACATGTCTATTTTTCAAGCAGTTTAGGTTTTTATATTGACCAGTACAGTAACTTTAATAAAACTCGAAATATGCTGCTTGGGTCCAACAAGTTTATATGTACTATATGTATGTATATAATTATGACATTTTTGTTTCAAAAGTACACAAAAGATAGAATTACATGGTTTACTGAATCAATGGCGGCTATCTGCAAGTCAGTGGCTGCCATGTTTATGTTTCTTGTAAAAATGTTGGTGTGAATGCAAGATTAAAAGATCTTTGAATTTTCGTTGGCACAACTTATGTCATCATAATTATTTCTATGAAGAACACGGTATGTATTGGCCCATCAATTTAAAAAAAATGTTTTTGCTTTAACAATTTACAATAATACTTGCATTCTAGTAGCCATGAATACCTATTGGTAGTTAGTTATTTCCCAAAATGACCAGACATTGACCCAATATCTTTATATTCAGGGATTATCTGAGGTTTATATTTAAGGATTATAACAGCAATTTCATCCGCTCACAGGCAGACGGTATGCTGGTATTTTCAACTGTATTATTATGTAGAAAAGTATTGTTCATGTCCCGGTATCAATCTGGGTATACATAAGACAGATTAACGTGACTTAACATTACTAGAAAAATATCATTTCTGGTATTTATATTTTTTGACGTTTTTTTCCCAATCAAAACTGTGTATAGTGACCAAATAAATAAGGTAAATTAAAATAATCTTTTATAGACAAGTGGTCTTTATACACAGGTTGCTAATACATATATTATGCCTTGGGACACCCTAATAGTGGTCACTATAGGCAGGTGTTTTTTATATAGAGATGAACACTAACACAAGTTTGATTATTAAAGATGGAAAATGGAAAATTTAAAAACACTGTTATTGATATTTTACAGGTTCCATCAACTGGAAGAGCAAATAAAAAAATGGGATACTTGTTTCCATGGTACCAATAGTAATATAATGCCTATTTTGGTGGCAAACAAGTAAAGTGCATAAATTCAAATTCATAGTTCAAAACAAATCACCAACTTTCAGGAAATTGCTATCATGTTTTAGTTGCGTCACAGTCTATCCCAGTATGGTTGCACCCTTCCTGCAACTAAATACATGTAAACATGTGCCTGTATACTTAACAGAGTATTATGAATGGGTCTATTATAGAGTGTTTTTAATTGCAATGTTTTTAACACCAAGGCTGCAATTTGCATGAATATACATACATTTGTACTACATAGGAATATATGATAAAGCCATGGCATATAAGTGTTTAGTATTGTTCACAATCAAGGTGTGTTTCAAGGACTATGGTGTAATTTACCCTTATTCAGCATTGGTACAGGCAGTCTTGTATGCCTATGTAATGAGGAGTAGATATGTGTGTTTTTGCTTTTGGAAATCATGAACAAAAAAATATAACAATGTTCATTATTTTAAATTACTAATTTTGAATTAATACACACATGTGCTAATGTATGAATTGTTTTATTTTTTTAACTGTTGATTGTTGGTTATCAAATCCCTTTGAATGAAGATGACAGGGTCCCTTAAAAGTAATACCGTGTTTGTTCTATTAGGATTCCATCTCCAAGATGCGAAAATAAAATAAAAATGCCATTTATTGTATACAAAATAATTAAATTGACTTATTTTGCCCATAGAAATACCTCAGAATATCTTTAATTCATGTAATCACATATGCTACTAATAGAGCAAATTCGATAATTATTATGTGTGTCATTTTCAGATATGGTATTCTTATTGACCCGTTCCAAGTGATCAGTCTCTCTCTGGACCTCCACGGAGCGCCTTACAGTTTTCCAAATGTTGCAGTCATACTCGGTCAGTACCAACTCATTTGTGCGCTTTTGTAATGTCTCAAGTCAAGCATGTTCTAAGGCTTAGACTTTTATAGTATAAAACTTGCTCTCCAACATCCAAATCAATTTGCTGCAGCTTAAAAGTTTTTCATTGCACTTGTCAAATTTGATTAATAGATGGAGGCTTGGATGTTTAGATGGCCAGTGTCTATACTAGAGTTATGTGTATTATAGAGGCATATGGTTTTAAATGTTTGGGTCGTATTAGCAGCTTTTTTTAAGGCATCATATTGTGGCACAGCGAACAATGACATTTACTGTGAATGCATTGTATACATTGCACTGGATTTATATTGAACTTGACACTGTTAAATTCTTATTGTGAAGGTACTAGAAATATGAGTAAATGTATGGCCATCAATTGGTATCATGTACAGTGTATGTAATGTACATGTAGGTAAGAACCAATGACCAGACAAACTACCAGTATAACAGCAAAGTAAATTATGTGCACGTGTTGGAGTCCTTTAAATTAATTTGCTATTAAATCTATAATTGGTAAAGTTTTTTTTTCTATATTCTTGTTATTTACAGCACTCAATGTGTTTATTTTTGCAACATTCTCTTTTGAAACTCTTTTGTCCAAGGTAAGTTTTCTTGAAGTGCATAATTAATTGAGTTGTACATCGTTACAGCGGCTTTGTTTCTGTTGCCATCATCACTAATGTCGTCCTAAGAAACTCCAGGTATGGTAAAATTTGTCTAAACTGAACTAAACTGACTTTGTCGAGCGGAGCTTATCATATGAGTGATTGTCCG